GGAAAAAAAAAAAAAAAAAAAAAAAATTAAAAAAAAAAAAAAAAAAAAAAAGAAAGCTAACCAAGGGACAGGAATATTACCAGCCGATAACTGAAACTGAGGCAAGGACTAAACACATCCAAGGAAAATGGGTTTGATAGGTGGCTCAAGGTAATCATTTGGGTCTTTCAGGTGGCCACGGAGAAGTCCGATTTGAGCACGTGCGTGTGCCCAAGGAGAACATGGTCCTGGGCCCCGGCCGAGGCTTTGAGATCGCACAGGGCAGGTTGGGTCCTGGCAGAATCCATCACTGCATGAGACTAATTGGGTCCTCAGAGAGGGCCCTGGCGCTCCTGAAGGCCCGTGTGAGTGCTTCCCCGTGCCCCCAGCACTGGCCCCAAACCACCGGCTGCTTTGCTGTCAGACTACAAATCCTACCTGCTATCTGCGAGCAGACCTAGCAGGGGAAGCAAGGCAATGCACCTGCCCAGAAGTTGTGTCCATGACTGGGCTTTGCATCTGCTACTTTGCTGCAGTCTGAAATTCAGAACAGAATGGGCCCTGCTCCGCTGAGGTGACCAAAAGCAAAAGGCTAGGCAGCAGAGGGCGATGTTCCAAGGTCCAAAGGGTCATGGGTTGCCAAGAGCCATTTGTGTTCCTAGCACATGGTTCAAAATCAGACACCGGGGAGAACTCGTGTTGCTTGTTTTTGTCTCTTGAGTTCCAGCATCCTGTACCATGCAGCTCCCCCAGCATGTCCAGAAAACTTTTCTGCTGTGACTTCCTCAAAGGTTGGAAACCTATGTAAAAGAGAGCTCCTGTCAGGAACAGGAATCCAAATCAGTTGTATTGCTTTCACAAAGAGGAAGCAAATCCTTGAAACCAAAACAAGTGTTCACAAGAGACACCATAAAGAACAGAGGCAGTCAATGAGTTTTGATTACTGAGCGTACCCTCTGTGATTTACAACCTTTTGAGTTGAGACTGATCAGTTTTTTCTTTGAAAATAAAATGTTCCTCTTTATTTCTTTGAAAATAACATGGAGTTGGGTATGGTACTTCAACGCAATACAGCATTAAAACTGAGACCAACCTTCTGGTAGAGCAGTTTGACTGTGTGTCAAAGTATCCAGAAAGTGCCCAGCAGTAACATGGCAACTGCACTCAGGACTTGGTTGCAAGGGAGTAATTAGGAATCTGTAAAAGATCTGCTACTAGGAGGCTCCCCACACTACCGATTCTAATAGCAAAGTGTTGGGAACACCCAACAAGGCTAACAGTGGGTCAGATAAACCATGGTGCATGGACATGCAGTAGAATCCAAAACGACGCCGTGGAAATCTATTTCTTAACATAGAGAGATGTTCACTATGTACTCTTAAATTTAAAAAAGCAGGCTACAAAGCAATATGTAGAATATAACTATTTTGTTAAAAAAAAAAAAACATACATATATGAGGGTTCTTCAAAAAGTTCATGGATTCATTTTATCTTTTAATTATATTTTTCCATGAACTTTTTGAAGTAGATATGTATATATATGTGTGTGTGTATATATATATATACATATATACATATACAAAAAGTCTAGAAGGATATCTACCAAATATAAACTATAGGCAACTAGGTGGTAGGATACTAGGTGTTCTTTTTTTTTTTTTTTTTTGGCCTGAAAATTGATAATTTTTGTGCCACGAGATATATTATTTGTGTAAAAATTGTTTTTAGGAAAAATAAATAAATAAAACAAGGGAGAAAAAAGAATACCTACAACCTTTTCTGATGCCTGGTGGCTTTCAGACTAAAATGCGTTGCAGATCAGATTGCCCACAAGGGGACCCTGGCAACCCGGTGGAGCTACGGGGCGTGGTGCTGGGCCACAGTCAGCAGAGGGCGCCCTCGCCCTGCCACAGCTGCTCCCTAATTCCCAGGAGTAGCGTTGCGCAGATGCAGGCTCAGATCCAAGAGAACTGCTCCTGCTGCCCAGCAGAGGCTGAATTGCCCAAGTAAAGGGTTCTTGAAAGTGGTTTGTGCAGCCACCATGTTGACTGTGGCTCGGTGTGGCTCACATGAATGTTGTTTGCATCCAGATCTTCTCCCTGGAAATTGTCAGTGGCCAGAGAACTGGCAACCTGGCAGACAAGCTGCACACTCCCACCTTCACTGTCTTCTCCTGCCCTTTCGTCTCTGCCTCCACACACCTCTGGAGGCCACCAGCCCCACGCTTCTCATGGCCACCCTTAGCCCAGCACATCCTTAGCCCTTTGTCTCCTGTATCGACAGGTGAGGTCCCGCGTGGCCTTCGGGAAACCCCTGGTGGAGCAGGGCACGGTCCTGGCCGACATTGCCCAGTCACGTGTGGAGATTGAGCAGGCTCGGCTGCTGGTGCTGAGAGCTGCCCACCTCATGGACGTGGCAGGAAATAAGGTAGGAGGCCAAGGGGCACCTCGGAGGGGCCACTCAGGTGACAGAGGTCCAAGGTTGTGGTGAGCACTTTGAGTCTTCCCTCCTCATTCAGCAAGCTAGAGAGAAAGAGCTGGGCCTCTTGACATTAAAAACTTTATTTCAACTCTATTTGGAACAATTTGGGCAGCTTTTCAAAAATAGAAAAGGCACAATAAAAGAAGACTGAGTGTTCTGTTTTACTGACCTGGCGAACTTCTTAGTCCAAGACAGTGGGTCTGATGGGGCCACATGGCCCCCTGGTAAGCCTGGACTCACAGGGCACGCTGGTGCAGGGGTCAGGCTAACAAAGAGTAAGCAAGTGATAAAGGACCTGCCACTGGCCTTAATTCAGATATAGAGTTAAGGTCTGGCCAGTTAGCTCAGTTGGTTAGTGTGCAGCCTTGTAACACTAAGGTCGTGGGTTCAGATTCCTGTACTGCCAAAAATAAAGAAGAAAGGATCAGATATAGAATTAGTCAAAATAGAAGCTTATTTCCAAGTGTGACATTATTCATTAATTAAGGCTCGTATTAAGTGCTGGTAATGGCCAGGCACGACGCCCATGTTGACCCTTGCTGTGTCCGGCTTTCTGCAGCTTTCTGTGTGTGTCCACCATCTAGCCAGGAGCCTCAGCACTGCGGGGATGACCCAGTCTCACAACTCTTTGACAATCGGTGCTGGATATGGTGGAGGTGCTCGGGTGCCCCACTTGAACGCCCTGACCCAGGGCAGATCCTGGTAGCTCAGTTTCCTGGAGCCCTGGCTGGTCCAGTCACTTGGAGATAATTGGTGGTGATCCTGAAAATGCACAGTCCCCCCTACCGCCATCTCCTCTGAGTGCTGGCGATATCCCCTGTCATCTGGGAAGACATCCATGTTTCCGAGTCTATCCTTTACCAGGCTTCACATTTTCTGACATCTTGAGTCACCCTTGTAGATACCAGCACCATGCCCTCCGCCCCCTAGGTGCTGCACACAGCGTGTTCCAAGCAGGGGCTGCCTCCCTGAGCTAACATCCAGCATCACCTCAAGGACACTGTTTTGAGCCTTTGCTTTTTACTCCTCCCCATGAACTGATGGTTCTTCCAGGCATTCTGCCCTCGGGTCTTCATAACCACATTTTCTCCTCTTCCTTGCAGGACACTGTTTTGAGCCTTTGCTTTTTACTCCTCCCCATGAACTGAGGGTTCTTCCAGGCATTCTGCCCTCGGGTCTTCATAACCACATTTTCTCCTCTTCCTTGCAGGCTGCAGCTTTAGATATTGCCATGATTAAAATGGTAGCCCCTACCATGGCCTGCCGAGTGGTTGATCGCGCTATTCAGGTGAGCACAGAGCAGGCTGCTAGCAGATGCCAGATGCGAAATGCCTCACCTTCAGCTGCCCAGCCTCCTGTCAGCCCCGCCAACCACCCCTTGTTGCCCATGCCCTGTGCAGCCATTTTCCTTTCCTCTTTAGAACAGCCCAAGGAGGGGCCCATCCTATCCCCATTATGAATTTGAGGAAACAGAGGCACAGAAAACTGAAGTGACTTGTCAGTCACTCAGCTTGCAAGTAGCTGACCTCAAATTTACATGAAACTGGGTCTTCATAACACCAGAGCCCAGCCTCCTAACCATGCAGGGACATCTTCTCAAATCCTAACAGCTGACCCTAACGTAGTGCTTTCCCAGTGGCAGAAGCCACCTTGCAGAGCAGGCTTGGTGAATCTAGCATCCTGGAACGTTAGTTCTCATACCACGTAGGTGTAAGTAGGGGATATCCCCAGGAAGATAGCTGTTATGAGCAGGCTCATATTTTGGGGCCCTCAGAGACTTACCCAGGGCCTCCTCTCCTTCCCATCCTGTGTCTGCCAGGCCTTCGGAGCAGCAGGCCTGAGCAGCGATTACCCCCTGGCTCAGTTCTTTGCCTGGGCCCGAGCACTGCGCTTTGCTGATGGCCCCGATGAGGTGCACCGGGCAACAGTGGCCAAGATGGAGCTGAAGCACCGCGCTTAGACCTGCACGACTATAAGAGCCGATGTCCCTGTTGGGCCAGCCACACCCAGAACTGTAAATGATGCACTTTGGAAGGTCTGGGATGTGTGTTCTTGCACCCTGCACAGCAGCCCTATCCTAGAACAATCATGGCGAATTTAACCTTTTTGGGTACCCACAGAAGACATTTCCACAAGAAGCCTTGAGTTTCTGTTACAGGCAAAGAAAAGAGCTGAGCGGGTTTCGGTACAGAACCCTGAAGCTGGTCTTCAGTCCCTCAGTACCGCTGAGCCCCTCTAGTCCCCCTCTCCCTAGCTGTGGGAATCTGGACACATTTAAGGAGCCCTGCTGAGGCAGTGTGCCGTGCTTGCAGCAGAGACGGGGCCTGCTGCTCCCTGCAGCCTGGAGAACAGGGCCAGAGCGCTCCTGGGACAATGGAAAGAAACTAAAACGATGAAGCCACTGCATCTGATTTTCTTATTTTGAATGTCAACACAGAACACTAATTTAAATGTTGTTTTGGAAAAGGGCTTTGAGAATACAAAAGAATAAAAAAATACTTCTCAGAGATTTTGTGGACTTTCTGTGATACAGAAGGAATGGAGAATGAAGGCTCCCCTCGGCCCTTGCATCTCAGGAGTCGGTTCTCTCCTCACACTGCTGTCCCCACAGGGTTCTATATGCCTGGGGCACGCGTGGCACGACTTCTGGTAGGCCCTAGTCATCACTCATGTAAACGTCACCAAAGGCACCATAGCATTGTGGTGTGCGAGGCCCCCTACAACTCCCACCCTGCTTCTGCTCTGCATTCACAGAATGGTGTGGGAGGGGAGACAGTGGGCAGTAGCCTCTGTGGTTTGGAGGGCAGTATTCTCTGAGGGAGGTGGAAACATTTACTTTCTTGAGATATGAGTTCCTTGAGAGGTGGGTGTCCCCTGAGCCCAGGCAGCACGTGGAGATAAGCCATTGGTGGCCATTAGGAGTCAGCCTGCTAATCTCATAATTTGCAGTAATGTGGCTCAAGCCCATTTCAGTTCTGACCACAGAGGCAGGTTTCCCCTGGTCTGCTGCTTTGCAGACTTGTCCCTAAGAGGGCCCACCTGCAGCATCCAGGAGCCTACCTCTGCAGGTTACGGACAGGGAGCTTGCAAAAGGGCTCCTCAGGTCCACTTGCCCAGTAGTCTCGGGAGGCAGCCTGCTCCACCACACTTGAGAGGCTGCCCATTGCTCAAGGAAGCAAAATTCAAAAGCCCAAACTCATTGCCACTACAAGGCCAGCCATGCAGGCAACTTTTGCAAACTCTGGCAGGATTCTAGCGGCCAGAGTTCTTGCATCTGCTTTGGGCCTCAGGAAGGAGGAGGGTTTTTTTGTTTTTTTTCCTTGGGAGGAGAGGTTTTTTAAAAAGGAAGTGGTCATGGCCTGGCAGATCACATGACCCTAATAATGTCTTTCATGGCCTCTGAGGTTAACCTTGCTTGGTCAGTGCAGCTGCAGAGATGAAAATAGAAGCCGTGGGGCAGCCTGTGTCTCCCTCACATGCTCTGCTGCATGCGCTGGCCAGCACGCTGCCTGCAGAATGGCGCACCGCTGAGATGAGGCCTCCAGCAGCCCCTCAGTCAGGGTCTCCAACTCGGTTAAATAATTCTGCTTGTCACTACTGATGAGCCCCAGCTCTGGGCCTGGCACTTGTCTAGGCCTTAGGGAATGTGCAGGTGAACAGAAAAGGTCAAATTGCCGTCCCTGTGGAGTTTGTATGTCAAGTGGGGAGAGCGGTAAGTGTCCCGAAGACTGTGGTAGGTGATATGGCAGACACTGCTGGGGGCTTGGGGGACTGGGAACTCAGAGGAGGACTCATTCTGGAAGAGGCATTTGAGCCAAGACCTGAACGACGAGAGGAAAGGGCAAGATTGCTTCTAGAAGAAGGAGCTGCAAATGCCAAGGCCCTGGGGAGCAGCCCAGTGGGTGAGGGAGCAGGAGAGAGAGTAGGAGGTGCAGCTGGGAAGGCTGGGCAGGTGCTGTGTCACATGGGGCCTATTGATGTTGATTATCAGTGTGGCAAAGTGGTGAGTTTGAGTAGGGTGTGACGCGACATGCTTTGGGTTTTAAAAAGATCCTTCCACTCTCCAAAGTTCACCAGGACAAAGGAGGATTAGAGCCATTTTAAAGTTCCCTAACATTCCAGGGCACTCCAAATGAACCGCCTGCAAAATAAAAAAAGGAAGGGAGGCAGGGGCTTAAGAAGATATGAGCAAAAGATCCAAAGAATAAAAGGAAATCTATGGCTGGCTGGTGAGCTCACTTGGGGGAGCGTGGTACTGATAACATCAAAGTGAAGGATTCAGATCCTCATATAGGCCAGCTGCCAAAAATAAAAAAAGGAAATCTAATCTGGTCCTAATCTCGTTTTTCTCCTTCTTCAGCAAACAGGTGGCCTTTCTGGTTGGCCAAACGCTGTGACTAACATGGCGACCCCAGCATTGTGCTTCTGCAGCATGTAAACCGCTGTGGGCTGTGGGCGCACGCTCAAGCGTGAACAAGCTTGGTCTGGTGATGATTGTGCCTGACCAGTTTTATTTGTGGATCACCATCCCTACATAGCTGGACCCATCTTGGGAAAGGGAACTAAACATAATCATACATACTACCATTTTATTTCTCACAGTAGTATGTGTCCCAAAGCACCTGAACGCATGTTCCCCTACTCCCCTCTTGGCAAGCCTCGGGCTGGGTTTCTGCATGGTCAAGCCCTCCCCAGCAATCATGTGACTATCAAAACTTCACAGGGTGCCACCAAGGACGCCATCTCGGGAGGGGACTTCCCCCTGCTCCAAGTTCTCCCTCTTCATTCTCCCTAGAGCCACGTGTGGTCTTGGCTTCCACAGGCTGCCTGTGCATCCCAAACCCTGATTTCTAATACTGTCAGATAATTCCAGAATAATCCTACAGAGGCTGAATTCCAGGCAACTTGCCTGGGTGGGCCCCCTTCAAGGCTGCAGCTGGGAGTGACGCCAAAAGATCAGGCTCCAGAGTTCTCTGCCACATATTCCCAGTCTTGGAGTGGTTGTCTAGGGATGGTCAACACACAGGGTTTTAGAGTTCCCCAGGGCTGCCGTGGGGGTGCCAGGCTGTGGCGGTGCTTGCCTCTTTGCAGTCACCGAGTCCAGAGCTGCAGCACTGCCCAAGTGTCTCCCAGACCATCTGGATCAGGATTTATACCCACCTAGCCCTCCATGCTGCCACAGGGGTACAAACATCACCAATATGTGTGAGTGTCAGAGTGGACAGAGTCCCAGACTCCAGCAACCTGGGGCCCAAACCTAAGTGATAATCTGTTGGACAAGTAGTCTGGCACAGAGTTTGTTTTAATCAAGTTGACTGAGCAGAGAAATGGCTTCTGGGAATTTTCTATCACATCAGCATTAGATGGATAACACAGTGCTTAAGAGTTTTCGAAGATAAAGGCAGACACTAGTGGAAGTGGTAAGGACAGGTGTTAATCAGTAATATATTGAACTCAACTTTGATTTGTGTGGAGGTGACTGGGCATTTTCAAGGAGAACGGGGTGGGTGGCAGGGATGGGTGTCGGGCCTCCCTGAGCCAGAGGCCGACAAAACCGAGCGGGAAGAGACCCCGATCCAGCCGGGGGTCCCTTGTGGGGCTGAGCGGGATGATGAGTGTTGCTGGCACGGCCCTTCCCCCCCAGGACCTTCCTCCCCGGGGGCCGAGAAAGAACACCACCGAGCCAGGAGAGTGGTCAAAGCCGGAACTCTGTTTATTTGCAGGGCGGCACAGCTTATATAGGGAAAAAGGGCAGGGCGGGTTTTGATATGAGAGATCAAGCAAAGAGCCAATAAGAAGGGCTTAAAAGGATAGGGTGAGGTGGTGGGGAGGCTTTACGCGAATACGGAACTAAAGTTGCTGAATCACTGGGACCCGGAAGGGCGAGGCTGGCAGCTACGTGCCGTTGAGCGCTAGTGAAATGGTGGCCGCGGAGCGCATGAACTGGCGCCCGTGCGCGTCAGGGCGCATGCGCGCAAAGTTATGCCCAACAGATGGGGGCTTGACAGAGTCAGGGATGTAGAAATTTGTAAAAAGCAGGAAGGGGGCTTGGTCCATGTGAAACCCATCTTGGTTTGCTGACTGGCGCTTGCTGAAGTTAGGCTCCTGCCCTCCCAGAGGCAGGAAGACAGGGGCCGTATCTTAGGTGTTGTCTGGAAAAAACAGTAACTTCTTTTGGCCGCTCTGAACTTTCTCAGGCAGGCACTTTAAGGGGGCCTAGGGTCACCCTAGGGAGGTGGCCTTGAGCTGTTAGAAACTATGTTAGTGTTTGTTCAAGTCTTTTCATGTGGTGGGGTAGTGGTGTGATCTAAATCATTTATGCTGAGAGTCTCCAGTTTTTGCAGGCCAAGACTGAGGCCTAGTTGTGGACAGGGCTCAGAGGAGCCTGGCTGGGGTGGCCAAGGAGAGAATCCTCAGCAGAGCTGTGGTTCTGGATTCAAATGGCCCAGATTCAAATGGGTTTGAATCCTGGCTTCATTACAGACTAGCTGAGCCACATTGGGAAGTGATCTTCCATCTCTTAGCCTTGCTTTTCTCATTTGAAAAATGGAGAGAACAGTACTTCCTCCCAGAGTTGATTGAGGATTAAATGAGATGACGCATGGTGTATAATAAACCTGCAGCGCCTGCCAGTTATTCATATGTGGCTGGAGACAGGCGAGGGCCAACTAAAGGGGAGGAAACTATGCTTAAACTGGGGTACAGGCCTGTGGAAGCCTCATCGGGGCCGAGGCCAGCTTGGACCAGCTAAGACTGCTGTGCTTCTCAAACTTTAATGTGCAAAGGAATTACTCTGGGGATCTGGTTAAAATGCAGAGTGTTATTGGGTAGGTCTGCCTTTCCCACACAACTGCAGGTGATGCTGCTTGTTCTGGGATCCCCACTTTGAGGAGTGAGGGAAGAATGGCTAGATTTCCCTCACCCCATCACCAGGGCTGAGGGGATACCACCTGGATGGAACAATAAGAGCTACTGGATATTTCATACATACCAAGTGCCAGGAACTGTTTGTACATTATTTTGAATCTTTATAACAATTGGCAGATACTTTTTTCCTGCCCATTTTAGAGATGAGGAGACTGAGGTTCAAAGAGGTTACATGACTTGCCTATAATGACACAGCTAGTCAGTGTGAATTCAAACCTAAATTCGGAAGGCTCCAGAGCTCTTCCTACTCTGAGGCATAGATGTTTAAGGATCTCTAAGGGGCTTCCTGAGAGGTGCTGGAAAAGGAGGAGAATGAAGCCCCACCCAACCAAGGAGAGTTTGCTCTGCTCTGAAGAAAGGACATGAATTTCCCCTGATAATTCTATTTCAGAAGATGACTAATCTCGGGAATACCCCCAACTGCCTCTCAGAGGGTCAGGCCCCATGTGCAATGTCGGCCATGTGGGCCCAGCTGCATGTGGGGTATGTTGAGCCAGCTATGTTTCACAGGTCTCTGTGTGTGCAAACAAGGAGGGCAGCTGGGCGCAGGGCCACATTTTTCCTCCTACCTGTGATAGAGAA